ATCTACCACCTTTTTAATTTTAATTTCCCAAATTTTAAACCCCCCGTTTTTTTTTAAATAAAATAGAAAATATTTTGTTTTTTGAGGAAGAAAGAACATAAAAACTATAAGTAAAAGGACCTACAGAGAACTCACAGAACAAACCAAAAGGAATTAATTTAACAATAGCTTAGAAACTTTGTACACAATTTGATGGAACCAAAACTTAAAAATATTTGAATACCTATCACATCAGAAAAGACGCAAAAACATAACAAGTGAAAGGTTTAAAAATCTTTACAATATGAAGCTTATGACGGCTCAATCGGGAAAATGATCTAGATCTAGAAATCTAGAAAAGGGAAGTATTCTTGTGTTCCTCATCAACGAAATTTATCGAATCGTATTAACGAAACCGTATCTTTTTTTCGAAAAGACGATGAAAACGACAAATGCAATGACAGCAACCAAATAAATGGTTATTTGATAAATTTTCTCATGCGGACCAGTCAATGTAGCCGATAACACAGAAACAAAATGTTTTGATAGCATGAATTCCTTCATATCGAAGGAACAATTACATCATCATATTCACTATAAAAGATTATGGTGGCTTTACTAATGCGTCTTAAGATATTATTATATCGTACCTTATATATAGTTTCAATACAAAATTACAGAAAAAGTTCTTCGCCATACGCAAAAGTAAACCTTTCAAGATGACAATTCAATGACAACTACGTATTTAAAAACCGTTTCTACTTAAGTTAAAACCAACAATGAGTTAAAATCTAAAAAGGTTTAGGGCTCCCTTTTTTCAGCGTCCTTGTGAAGAATATGTAGCGACTGAAGAATTTCAAATTCAGTCCAGCCTAAGTAAAGCTGGGCGGAATTTAAAAGACACCAAAAAAACCCCGAGTCAATTAAAATCATTAATAGACAAGTTAATAGACCGAACTTACTTAGAGTTTATTTTTTTCTCAGACTGTAGTATTTATTAGTGTAATATTATACTAATTATGATTCATTATAATAATTCTAATCAAATTTAATTTAAATAAATACATACAACTTAAAACATAACTAACTAAAAACTAAAATAATAACACATTAAAAAAAGTAATAATAATAAAAATGTTATCTAAAGGCATCAAAAATGGGCTCGCTGCCATTGCAGCGGTAAGTCCCCTCTTCGAGGAGTGCTCACCTACCGCCTGACGCAGGTCCTCACCGGACAGGAGGTACCTGTGTCTGATGGTTCGGGAGGAAACGCCCGGGTGTCATCACTGCGAGGACCGCCTTGAGGACACGGTGGAACACACAGTGGGGGAATGCCCTGCGTGAACTGAGCACCGCCGTGCCCTCAGGGAAGTGATCGGCGATGGCGACCTCTCGCGTCCGGGCCTAGTGCAGGCTATGGTGCGAAACGAGGGGGACTGGGATGTCGTCTCCTCCTTTTGCGAAGCAGTTACTCTAGCTAAGGAGGGGGCGGGACGCGTGAGACAGCGAAGCGCTGCCTCCTCGCAACCCAGCCATCGCGGACACACTGGGCGTCGGGGATTGCGGGCGGGACGATCTCCGGCCACTGTAAGCGCGGGCCTGCGGACGGCGAGCATGGGTAGCCACCCATGCTCGCCGTCCGACCAGAAACAGACAGAGCGTACGGCGTGCCGCGAACCGCGCGCGCCTCAAAGAGCCATCAGACCACCACAGATGGGGCCCAATAGGGCCGATGCCGATTCGGAGTCGCGGAGAACCTAACGGGTAACCGGGGCTCCTGCTCGACGTGCAGGAGAAGGAACGGGGTGGTTTTTAGTCAGTAAGAGTCTGACACTCCCTCCCGCCTCACCCAGGCGGGAGAAGTCATTCGATGATTTTCCCCCTTTAAAAAAAGGCATAAAAAAAGAGTGGTTAAACACTCTAAGCGAAGTTAGGAAAAATGCGAATGCGACCTCTTGGTCATAAATACACGATTAGTTTTGGTTAACACCATAGCTGAACAGGCCAGCATCCTGCAGAATATCACAATTTTGTTAAGGCGCGTGAATAATTGTTTTTTTTTTGGGCCCTGTTTGTTCCTAGACTAATACGAAAATGAAGAATACATATTGAAACAAGAAAATATTGATACCAACGTAGCATCAAAATGAAAATTGTATATGTATAAATAAATAAAAAAATACCAAGAGACACTTCTTTACTGATTCTATAATTATGTGTTTTTAACTCCCGTATCTTAAATCTTTGCACGTATTTCCCTATTTCTTTATTTTATTTTAAAGTTAAAGAACCACCAATAACTACAACAAATTCAATTACCACTAATAAGTCAGCTGGATAATACGCAAGAGAAATAAAGACCGCATTATCAGTCCTCCAACATGAAACTGGTACGAGAAGCTAAAAGGCGAATTGATAAAGCGGTTGATAGCGTCAAAAGAGAATAAGCGCTAAAACTACTTTTGACGCACGAGAAGTTAGGACACAGAAAGCCCTCGCCATTTATCTGGGGTCTCGCTGGGAATCTAGCTGGCGTGAACGTTCCTAACGATTTTTTTAAAGACGATCCTAGCTGATTTGTCATCAGCTGCCTCCATCGACGACCTGCCACACTCGGTCGAACAAGTTCAGCAGTTGACCGCACTTACACCATCTGTAGCATTTACGAGTGCAGCCAGTCAAGATGGGAGATTATTTGTAGTAGCTGGTATCTTTATTAACAAGTGTTCTACCTA